TCCCAACACCTCAACTTTAATACTGTAGAGAAGGGCTAAAGAAAACCAAACTCATTTAGAATTACAAAAGTAATCCATTCTACTTCTACTAGTGATGAGCTGTTTTCTTGTAGATCAATCCTTGGACAACAAAAAAGAATAAGTTTATTTCAAATCCTTGGGCAGCTGCTGTGACACAGAGGACTTAACACACATGGGGGAAGGCACATATCCAGGGTGAATCTGTTACAGGGCACCCCAATGTGAATTGGTTTGCCTGTCTGTGGATCTTCACTTGTGTGCTTAACGATTCAATTGTATTATGGACACATTCAAAAAGGTTAAATAATGGATTTATTTATAAGGAGAAAGGTAAAGGAATAACCCAGGGAAAACGGGAGAGAAATATAAGTTAACTAGAATGTCCTACCAGTTCTGCTGACTTGGACTCCACCCACACGCTGAAAACCGATCGAGAGCCAAAACGATCAGCCGCGAACCACCAGGCCAAGAGACCCCCAGAGACCTCATGTCTGGTTTTATCCCAACCTGGCTGCTCAGCTCTGCCCTCACGTCCCAGTGCGCTTCTCCTTGTTATTGATGGGATTAGTAGTTCCAGTATCTGGAGTGGGGGTGGAGTCCATGAAACCTGTACCTGTTACAGTTCCACGAAAAATCACCAGCAGTTCTCCCTGCTTCATTTCTTGAAGTTAAGTGATCTCAGACACTTTATATTCTTGAAGAATCCAGGTAGAGAGGAGAGTCCTAAGAATGACTTACAGGGATATTCTTAAAGTTAGCATTAATAGAAAAAACAACAATTTGATAGGTTGAAAAAAATGAGATACCATAGATCATGAATAGTTGAATCTGTAAGGTCATGCCTGGGTGATCTGGGCATAAAAAAGAGAAACAACCAACCCCAAGACGACTAACAAAGAATATGCACTGCTAGCGAGAAAACAAAGAGGGACCCTCTTGCCCAACTGTTACAGGAGAAGGGGATAAGGACAGTGAACTCCCAAACCTGCCTGCTCTAAATAGGTTCTGCCATCCGCTGCATCAAGACAAAACATATAAGACTTTAATGAAAAGGAACTTTAATACAGTGAGTATACAATACGGAAGACAAAGAATATGATTTCTAAATCCAACACCTGCAAAAGTCAACCCAAAAGGGATTGGTCCAAAGCAAGGCCCGAAAACCCGCCACAACACTAAAGCCCCTTCTGGCTGGGACCCATAGAAAAGGGTCAGAAATGGCCAGACAAGTCTGGGAGGAAAAGGAATAAAATAAAAATCAATATAAACACTGCCATAGTCAATGTCCCCATGGGTCTCTCACCCACATCAACCAGTCCAGGGCCAAGAAACAAGCATGGTTTCTTCATCACATGCTTGCTGCTCCATGTGGCTTCCTCGGGTCTCCTTCTGGCTCTCCATCCTGCTTCCTTCTCTGCTTCCTTCTCTTCTCTCCTTTTCTCTGCTCAGCTCCACCCTCCTTCTAGGTGGGGCAGGGAACCTGGAACTTCCCCTTTTCCTGGGCACCACCCTGTTGCACAACCGGATGGTGGTTTACCGACCCAGACCCAACTCTCAGCAGCAAAAAAATGCCCTACCTTGCAATGCCTGCTCCCAACCCCACCTGAAAAATTTCACTCCCCAAAGACCACCTATAAAAGGGCCCCTAGCCTGTACACTGGGTGAGAACTTCCCAGACCCCAAACTTGTGATCTGTGAACCTCCCTTGCCTGGGAGCAATAAAACTTCCCTTCCACTTTTATTTCTGTCTCCTTGCTTCATTCTAACCACCGAACCTTACAGAATCTACAGACTGCGAATCCCTTAAACACATCCAGGTGGATGAAATTGTAACAGGTACAGGTTTCATGGACCCCACCCCTACTCCAGATGCTGGAACTCCAAATCCCATCAGTACCAAGAAGAAGCACGCAGGGACGTGAGGGCGGAGCTGAGCAGCCAGGTTGGGATAAAACCGGACATGTGGGCTCTTGGGGTCTCTTGGCCTGGTTGTTCGCAGCTGATCGTTTTGGTGCTCAATCGGTTTTCAGCGTGCCGGTGGAGTCCACATCAGCAGAACTGGTAGGACATCCTAGTTAACCTGTGTTTCTCTCCCTCTTTCCCTGGGTTATTCCTTTCTCCTTATAAATAAATCCATTATTTAACCTTTTGAGTGTGTCCATAATACGATTGAATCGTAAGCACACGGGTGAAGACCCACAGACAGGCAACCCAATTCACCTTGGGGTGCCCTGTAACAAAATGTCTGAGTCAAAGGCATGGAAAGAAGTGAAATGCAGAGGCATAGTGATTCTAATGGTCACGATAACAGTGACTGGGGGCTTATGTCGGAGATGGGTAAGTGTGGGTCTGCTAATCCTAAGCAGCCTGTTCTAAGCAGCCTGTGGGGCCATCATTTTGTTACCCACAGTTCTGCATTCCTATACAAGGTCAGAACTCCCTTCAGTAACCTGTCAGTCATCAGAGCCAAACCTCACAAGGTGCCTTTCAAATCAATCAAGAGCACGAAGCTTGATCACCTGGGAAGGGTGTGCATCAGGAGGTATGACCAGGAACGCAGGGGAGAGGGAGTGCAAGGGAGGGGGTGCTGCGGACTGAGGTATGACAAGGGACCCCAGAAGCTGGTCAGTGGAATGCCGTGTTAAGATTGAAATCCTGTCTGGAGAACTAGGGCGGGATCTCCATTACAATACTGAATCATCAAGCAGAGGAGAAGTGTCTGGAGGGCAGACTCACAGTCCCTAATACCAGAGATGACAGTTCCACCTTTCTCCTTTTCCTTTTTCCTACTTCCTCCTACAATTGATACTGTATGGTTATTTTATTGATAAAAAGGCCAGGATCTTGCTCTTGAGCAGCGTCCTGCATTATGTAGCCTGCTCTGTGCCTCCCATTTCTTTTATCTTTTCATTAAATTAATATGTGTGTGTGTGTGTGTGTGTGTGTATTTTTTACATCATTCTTTATCAGTATGGTGTTGCTCAATGCAACGAATAAGGAGCTGGAATTCTTTTACCACACAGATGCAAGAGTGTTTGCCCCTTTAAACATCAAGTGACTCAGTACTTAGGTTTATGTTTCTTAATAACAAAGTGAACTGGAAACACATGGTGAAGCTTTATAGCCATATAGCCATTACTTCACACCCTTACAACTTGTTGGGGAACCAAGCCTGAGGAGAACTGTCCAGGGTTTAAATCTAGTTTTCAGTGTCTATTTTATCATGAGCTGTAACTGTCCTATCAGTTAGAAGGACTATTGAGTTTAATCTATCTACAGAAGTTTTATTTTGTTGTTTTTTTTTTAATCCAGTTCTGCTCATTCGAAAAAGTGGAGATAGTGGCACTGCTAATAGAGAGAAGGGTTTACCCTCTTGGGTCTGTGTGTTAGGAAGGGTCCCCAAGGTCTAGAATAATGACAAAGAATCTATGAAGCCTGTCTCAGATGTTTATTACTTCAAGCTCCCATTACCTAATCAGAGAAATTATAAAATATACTTTTCCCAGTATTGCTCTTGATCCAGACAAATTCAGGAATCTTCCATTTTACAGTCATATGCCTGAACAGTACACATGGGTCTTTATGTAATAACTTACTTAACCTTTATACCCATGGTTTCTCTATTCCATCAGAATTTTGTTTATTTCCTGGATTAAACCTTACAGAGTATTCAAAGCAAAGGTGGGATAGGAAGCACTAATTGCAGCCCACACATAAATATCTTTTCAGGTATATCAAATTTTCATTGTGCAATCAGAATGAAAATGAATCAGAGAGGGACTTTTATGTCATAAACATGTGATCTGAATATTCTTGGTGAAATTCTCATGAATAATGTTGTCTGTTTCTTAATTTCCTCTTTTTTTGAAGCCACTAGATATTTTAGTCCTAACTGGACTTCTGCTTTTTAGGTGCACATTATTTCAGACATCTCATAGTGTAGTCTCTGAGCTCTGCCCTGTAGAATACTTTCAGGGCAGAAATACAAGAAGCCCCTGGACCTTGGGAACACAGGAAGCCTGCAGCATGGTACCAGAAGGTCAAACTCAAGATGGAGGTGAGCGTTCTTGTTCTCGGTTCCAGATAAAAAGGGGTAAAAGTATAAGAGATGATGAGTTGCCTGGGGAAAAGAAGTAGATGATGACACATTGAAGGGATGGGGATGGGTGCTCTGCAGTAAGGTCATGAGAAGCTGAATGAAAGAATATATCCTTCATGTCAGAAACACTTGTGAGAATAAGAAATCAACCACCCATGGGGGTGGTTGAAACATGGTTTTCATAAAAATGGGAAAAAATGAAGAATGTCATAAGAAAGAAGGAGATTAAAAAGTACAGTTGATTGTGGGTTAGTTTTGCCAGATGGTGTAGGACTTCTACTACTTGTTCATTGAGTGTGAGTCAGTGTCCAAGCTCTCTTCTAGTACTAAGCTTATACTCTGAGGGTCTTCATATGGTTTCTTCATTGCTCCAAGTTACATTAGAGGTAGTGCTTTCTGGGTCCCTCATAATTGCATTTATCTTCCTGCTCTGACAGAGAAAGCCATATGGAGGTTCCAGGTGAGGCTGTGGACCGGTGCTGGGATTTGCATTGCACTCCTCAGCTTTTGTTTCATTGGAAACTGCGTGGGTAAGTGCCACTGAAAGGCCACTTCTTGTGAACCTTTTCCTTGTCCTGGTCTACAGGGATTCTCAGAGGCATACTCTCCTTCCCCCATTCATGTGAGCTCCTGCTAAGAATGCATGCTCCTTGATTGGTCCACCTCATCTGTTATCTGTAGCGGAAAACCATAAATTGTTACAGGTGGTGCTCCTGGAGGGGTTTGCAGGTAGAAAATAGAGTGTCCTAGGAGAACGCTATAAGTGGGGTGAAGCAATGGAAAAAGTGTATAAGGCACACCCAAGAAGGAGCTCTGCACATGTGTGAGAGGAAGATCTGGGTGTGTGAGAGGAAGATCTGTGCGTGCAAGAGAAGAAGCTATGCAGACACGTGTGAGGGAGGCTGAGCGGAGCTGTGTGGAGATGTGCAGGAGAGAAGCTGAGCTGCGGCTGCAGCAAGGCAGCATCATGATGGTGGCAGCGGCCCTGGGACAGCTCCGTGAGGGCTTTGTGGAGCTGGGCTTTGTGGGTGCAGGCCATATGGCAGAGGCCATGGAATATGGCCCTGTTCAAATAGTTGTTTGGGAAGTTTTGTTGGAGAAGGGGAGACCCAAAGAAACAGGCATCTTGCCCAAGTGTGGCCTGAAGAGAAAGTGAGTTGTCGAGCCAGTCCTCTTGCTAAAATGCGTGACTGTGGCCATTTGTAGGTGGTTAGGCCACTCCAGCGGTGGTCTTGAGTATCGCTTGTTTGGTGCTGTGTGGGGCATTTTGGCAGCCCAGGGAACACCTTCTGCTGTATCCTTTCTGTGTTTGTGACTTGGATCCTGGCCTATAGTTCTGGCAGGAAGACGCCATCTTGGACACACAGCCTATTGTTTGGGAGAGGAGCAGCATCCTCAGTGGTGGGAAGACGCCATCATTATAACGGTCTTTGTGTGGCACTGGACAGTACTACACATGGCTTTGGGTAAAGGAAACAGCCATTACTGGCCTCAGTAACTCTTGTTTTTCCTAGTTTGTTAAATAAATCTTTTTGTTGCTATTTTCTAAACCTCAGGATGTCTTGCAATTTTGCCTATGGATGAAGAACCCAACAATAACTAGTAAAGTATTTGGACAGTGAGGTCTTGCCCAGTTTAGGGTCCTCTGCCACCCTGTATCACTTCCTCCTCTTTCTTCTCCACTATTCCATTTTAAATTATTGATTTCACTACCATTCAATCAGTCTCAGTAGCATTGTCCCAGTTGTGACCTCACCAAGACACCATCCTCACTACAGGGTCAGGAGTGACCTGTCCTCATGTCACCAAGCCCTCCAGTGAGAGTGTGGCCATAGTCAAGAGTCCTTTCAAGCAAGGCCTTAGGTTTTCCTGTGAGTAGGAGGATTAGAACACACCCCAATATTAACTCAGAAGTTTTTGCTATTAATCATATCATTTCCTATGAGATGGAAAAATATTCAAATCAAATATTGGCATTTGTTAGGAATGAAATATTCCTTCCCTGCTCAATTGCCTCCAAATAAGTATTTCATATAAATATTTCAGCTCTTCTGTGAGCTTTCTTACAGAACCTTTTGTTCTGTACTCTATAATTTGGTTCTCTGTTCATTAACAAGGTTATTAAAATATTTTTGAATAGGCTGCAGAGGGTGAGCTGTGATTTTTTTTTACGTCAAAGGGACCGTGTTTGAACTTTTCTCTGATGAGGGACTAAATTTCATGGTTTTAGTAAAGCACATGAAATTATCATCAACCTTAGATTCTGCTTTTCATGGTCAATTGTAAGAGAGAAGGAGCTTTAAGAACTATTACTTCATTAATCAAGGGACTGTAGAGATTTGGGATCCAAGACATCTGTTAAGAGAAAGAAAGACATGTTGGACAGTATTGGGTTCAGTATTGGAAAAACAAGAAGAAATGAGTGAAAAATCAAGTCAGGACACAAGAGAGATCAGGTTTTGCTTAGTTATGGATGCCCTTGAAGATAAAAGTTAATGTCCATTGAGACATTTATTGTGTTTCTAAATGTTAAAGGTCCCCCTCACCCCCTCTCCCCAGTTGTTATTTACTCCTATGTTTATTAGAAATTTTAGAAAATATCCAAATAACCTGAAAATTTGCTTCAGGATCTAAAATCATGGCGAAGCAGGCAGTCAGTGAGTCACAAATACTCCTTGGTAACTTAATCAGCATCACTGTTGTGTTTAATTAGATTAGTTAAAGTGACTGATTCAGGTAGGAAACAGAATCTCTGCCCTAGAATATAAAGCTTAAATCCCAGTGAGTGAAAGAACCAAAAAGAACAGTGCAGGGTGTCGACACAAACATGATAAATGAAAATAAGCAAGCGGTAATTCCATGTGGTCTTCCTGCATTTTCATACAAAGAACGTTGATAGTAGAGAGAACTAGCTTGTAACAGAATATAGAGCAAGAGGACTTTAGCACAAGAATGGATGGACCTGACCCTTCTTCTTCCATTACAGTGACTTATCATTTAACTTGTGCCAGACTATCAAATGTAACCTTTAAGGAAATGACAGGCGTGACGGGAGTGACAAAAGTGATGGGAGTGACAGGTAAGGTGATCCTGAAATCACCAGATCTTTCTTTTCTCACAGAGTCAGCATTGAACTATATAGTAGCTGTTCACATCAGCTATCTGGCCTCAAAAAAGTTCTTTCTCCAGACCTTTGATTTCAATAAGCACTACCACCATACACCACAGAATTTGCTCAAGCCAACCCGGGAAATTATTCTTAACGGTGTTCAATTAGGAATTTGATAAATGCATCAGATGCATCTAAGTCTCTTTTTGATTTCTTAGATTCCTAATGCATAATATTCGTGGTATTACAGGTCAGTTTGTATCTTGGCATATGACTCTGAATGATCCCACTCTCACTCTAAAATACAGTCTTAGTAACTTCCTATTAGTCAGGAGAGTTGAGCTCATAATCAAGGTCAGCCTCACACTCTGTCTAGTGAAAAAGCTCTAGAGAAGGCAAGAGCAGGGTGTTCTGGCCTTGCTCCTTCTGAACAGGGCCTCCCTGGTGCCACAGGGGCTAAAGCACAGCACTCTCACCAGCCACTGCAGCTGACTCTTTGGGCGCAGCAAACCTCTCCTGGCTCCCTCACTGCTCCCCTCCGCAGTGTATTTCAGTAGACCTGCCTGTTCTGCTCCTCACGCTCTCTGGTGAATCCTCTTACTCCCTGCACCTCTGGCCTGCACCCCAATTCTTGTGTGCATAGATACAAGAATATACTTAAATAAATCTTAAAAAGAAAGAAAGAAATCCAAACAGATGGCTGAAACTACTTGGTAATTTTCCTTCACTGCATGGCCACTTCACCAGTGCAGTCACCTAAGTGCCATCCATATTATAGCAAAGATACCATGTCCACTTTTTTTATTGATTAAAACTTTTTTTATTTTTTGCATTGCTGCTCATTTTTGTGCAGTATATGATTTCTCCCCTCAGGTGTGGTCCCCATAAATCTACTGCACATCACCCATGAAGGCCACCATAGTCCTCTGTGTCCCTCCTCCCCTCCCCTCCACCCCCACACCTCCCTTAGAGCCTTTTCTTTTTCCTTCTGGATGTCCACTTTTTCAACAGTAGAATATTCCACTCCCCTATTGAGTATTGCCCATTTTTATCTTTATTTTATTTGCTAAGATTTTCTTTTTGTTGTTGCTGAGGCTTTTTTTTTTTTTTAAAGATTTATTTATTTGTACATACAGAACTGGGATACAAGCCAGAGGCTCAGGGGTGATGAGAGGCTTCACCAGAGACAGAGTGGGGAGCAGAACAGGAAGATCGACGAAGTACACTGCTGAGGGGAGCAGCGGGTGCGCCATGTGTTCTCCCCCCGGGCAGGCGGGAATCGAACTCATGCGGAAGTGGCTTTAGCTTCTCAGTGCTGTGCTTTAACCCGCTGCGCCACCAGAGAGGGCCGCTGAGGCTTTTTTCCTGTTCATCTGGTTCAAACAGGTTTGCATTTCCTTCCTGAAGCATCATTTCATGCCTTTTCTGTCAGATAATTCTAATGTAGCTGTTATCTTGTTATGGGCTTAGGTTTAATTTCTTTTTGCAAAATTAATTTTGGAAACTTTGTTCTCTTAGTTGGATGATTTACTTCCCACTGAGATCAATCCAATTTCACAAAATATCTGGATGCTCTTAAACTTCAGTTCTAACCAGCTTTTAGTGATGCTGCTCTGTCTAGAGCAGGGCCCTGCCTTGTTCCTGCCTGATGCAAGTGGGCACTTCCCCCTCACACCCAGGGGTGGGGACTTCTGCTACCAGTGGGGGAATTGGGTGTCCTGATTTCATGAGTTCTGCCTGGTATTTTTATTAATTCACACACTTTAAAATTACTTTTCTCACATTGCCCTGATATGGCCTCTGTCAATACAGGGAGAGAAGGGAACTTCAGCTGCTGTCCCACGGGCTGGAAGCCATTCGGTTCGAGCTGCTACTTCATTTCTAATGCACCTAAAACTCAGCCTGAGAGTGAAGAGAACTGCCTGGTAATGGAAGCTCATCTGCTGGTGATCACCTCCGAGGAGGAGCAGGTACTTCTTGAGAGTGGAGTCAGGGGTCCTGCAGGTGTTTGTGGGCCTCACCTGATTAAGGAGCAGGGTTCCATAGTTGGGATACTGGGGTGCAGTGGGGGCTTTGAATAAAATAGGAGGAAAGGGTACCTAGCTCTTTTCACACCATATCTTCTTCTGCTCCATAAAATTAACCTCCTCCAAATAAGCTGAGGTGTTTAAAATTTAATATGTGGGGGTTGCGTGGAAGGATGAAACTATTTCACCCTCAAGTATCAGGTTATTGTTGTAACATATAAATGTTTGCAGATTATTAACTGTTAAGCAAAGAAGAGTTTTTAGTCAAATAAGGAAGTTCAGTCATGAGGGGTCTAGTAAACAAGCTAGTGAATTCATGATCTCTGAAACTGAAAGGAAAATGGTTTAATCTGCAAATGTTTCTCATGCACACCTTTGGAAATGACCATTTCTCAGTGAAGGGGATGGTCGTCTGTGTGAGATGAGGCTTTATTATGATCTTAGACACAAATCACTTCCTTCTGTATTATCATTACTATGCATACTGTGTTTGTGTCCCTCCTGATTTGTCGTTGAAATCCTAGCCCTGAAATTGATGATATCAGGAAGAGACTCACTGGGAGGTGCTTAGGCCATGATGGTGGGGGCCCTCAGGAGTGGGATGAATGTGCTTGCAAGAGAGACCCAGACATTGCCTGGTTTCTTCTACCTTGGAGAACACAGCAAGAAGTTGCCCTCTATGAATCAGGAAGCAGGTGGCCTTCACTTGACCATACTAGCATCCCGATGTGGGGCTTCTTATCTCAGGTGAGTGAGAAATGAACTTTGTTGATGAGCTACCCAAGCTGTTACAGCAGCTTGAACTAAGACACACTTGACTCTCACAAGTGATGTCTGGGCCAGCTCTGCTTAGCCAGAGGAGACCTATAAGCCTAGGCAGTGTTCCCTTGGCTCTTCCTGGGTCCTCTCCTTTTCTTCTCTTCTCCTTGAGGACACAAAGATCTCATTTCAATATGAGTTCTCTCAAGATAACAACTCCTTTCTTTTCTCTATTCAGAATTTCATCATCCAGAACTTGGATACCGCATTTCTTTATTGCATTGGGCTGACTGAAACACTCAAGCCGTCAGACCCATCTGGGAAAAGACACTGGCAGTGGGTTGACCAGACACCATACAATGAAAGTGCCACGTGAGTATGGAATTACATAAGGGATGTCTGAGTCCCGGGTCATGTGGGGCTTTAGGGTGAACAACGCTCAGTTAAAGTCGAATAGCTTGCTTTATTTTTTTCACTTTGAGTACTAGGTTAAATATTTTTTTTTTTTACCTCTTGTCAGCATCACAAGAACTCTGAGATGCATACTTTATTATTTTTCCCTCTGAACAAAGGCGGAATCTGAATTTAGAGGATTTAGGAAGCTTAATGAAGGTTTCTCACAATGACAATGATCCTCAAGCTCAGTGTTTTTTGAGTTTAAAACTAATTCTTCAGACACTAAAAACACACGTGGAAAAAAATATCAGTAATAGTAAGTCCTTATTAATATTGCAGATATATTCTTGGAAACCGCAACTTTAAATTTTAAAAAGCAGTTTCAAGGATGTAAATAAGAAATAAAATTTCACAACATATCTGATCACAAACATCACCAAATTTCTAAGATTCAGATACTTCTCATATTAATTGTTCATTCATATTCCAACCTGATTACTTCAGCCAGGTGTTTGGAGATAGTCAAGGCACAATGTGGAAACCAGCCCAGGATGGACATCTTCCAGTTCAGTGCACACATACGCATATTCGCACATGCTCTCATATACACACACAGTGTCACACACCCTAACCCCACACCCTCCTTCTGCTCCCATCCCCCCACATCTACTCAGATTGGACAACCCAGACACCCCAATTAACCTAACCTCTTTGGGACATGGGAAGAAATCAGAGTTCCCAGTGCAAACCACATGCAGACTTGGGGAGAAGTACTGAACCCACACAGAATTTGATCCAGCTGGAGTCATTTTTTTCCTCATCAACATTTTTTTAAAGATTTATTTATTTATGCATTCAGAACTGGGGTACAGGCCAGAGGAGTGGTGGGTGAGAAGATTCACCAGAGACAGAGTGGGGAGCAGAACAGGCAGATCTACTGCTGAGGGGAGCAGTGGGCAGGTCAAGAGACATCTGCCATGCCATGTGGGTCAGCTTCCTGGTGGGGAATCGAACTCGTTCTGCGGTGGCTTCAGAGAGCTTCATAATGCGGTGCTTTAACCTGTTGTGCCACCATGGAAAGCCCCCTCATCAACATTTTTAATGAAATGAAACTATTGCGGGCCCACTGTACATGGATACCTGGGGCCAGGGTGAAATCTTCATCTTTTAACAAGCCTATGGATGTCAGGCCCCTGGAAACAGGACATAAATGGCCAGATAAAAGGGAGTCTCTGGAAAACTAAGGGGAGGATGGTGAATCAGTGAAATGCTACAATACTGGATCAGGTAAGCTCAGTTTTCAAAGGAAATACTGAAGAGACTCAGATGGAGGAAACTGAGTGGAGAGGAAGGCTTGGGCTTGTCTGACCTTGACCTCCACACAGATCAATGACATCTCTCTCTTCACTGTCTCTTTTCAAAGCACAGTGTGAAGAGACATACTGGTCTTTTTTCTCTCTTTCAGGTTCTGGCACAAAAATGAACCCGGACATAACAACAAGCACTGTGTTGTTCTACATTCTCATACAATAACGAATAAATGGGGCTGGGTCAGTGTTGAGTGTCTTCTACCTTACAGGTCAATTTGCGAGATGACAAAGATCAGCTGCTCAGTGGAGCAGTCTCCATGAGGATGTGATGGAATTGGTCTCCACCATACAAAGATGGCTGATCTTTTATTGTTCATATGTAAATCTTGTAGAAGAGGTTTCATTTAAAGTTTCCCAGGGGTCAACAATTCCATTTGTGTTAGATTCGTGTCCACGTTTGTCAACTTATTGACTAACAAGATGAATATTGAGAATTTTCCACAGGTAGAGCCTAACTGGAGAGGCCTTATGTTTTTTCTTTGAGATCTAACTTGTGTTATTAACATAGGTTTCTGTAAAAATTTTCAGGAGACAGTCCCCTATTCCACTTGTGATAGAGTCAGTGAGCACATTCATAGTTTTTCATTAATTAATTTATTAGAAATCTTCTATGTGCAGAGACTATATTGGAGAGCCCTTTTTTGAGATCTAATTGTTTTATTAAATGATGAATGAATCAGGCAGCATCCATCTAGCAAGTAGAAAGGTATGGAAGGGCTCACACAAATTGGATGGTTTTCATAGAAAGAAGGTGGGGCAAAGGTATTAGCAAAAGAAAAGATGACTTCTGTGGTCCTTTGCTCAACATGTTTGTGACATTCACCTAACTTATTGTATTTTGTCAACAACTGTAAAGTAAAAACTCAGTCATTTTTTCCTCTCTAGGAAACACCCCATTATTATACAAGTTGTCTCTTCCCTGTGTGTCTCCTTTACTTTCATAGAGAACATTTCACTTCAGGTTATCATGTGAGGTTATCATGTAGAGAGTTTCCCCTACACTCAGTCAATTCTCTGCCACACCAGCTGGGTGTGTTACCATTTAACTCAATTTTGATTCCATGTACCCAGAAACAGAGTCAGATTCCACAGTGTAGGGTTTAGTCCTCCATGACTGTCCCTGCTTTGTTTCCCTTTTAGATGCCAGGTGTTAGATGCCAGCCTTGAGTCCAGGCCAGGTTTGCTTCTGACAACTAGCTACAGATTAGAAGTTCTAACAATTTCCTTCTTGGGTTTGATTATTTTGCTGGAGTGGCTCATGGTCCTCAAAAAAAGTTAATACCAGTTTATTAAATGATATGATAAAGGATAGAGAACACAGCCAGATGAAAAAATATATAAAGTAGGAAATAGGAGGGAGAAGGAGCTTCTATCCCTATTGAGTCAGGGTGTATGACCTTCCTAATTAGTGTATATTCTCTCACTTGAATTCTATGAATCTCATGCTATTTGGATTTTATGAAGGATTTCTCACTGAGGCATGACCATTATTATTTTTAAAATTATATTTATTTATATATATTTTATACCATTGTTCATTTTTTATATGTTTGCTTCTCTTCTCAGTTGTAGTCCCCATAAAACTCCCACCACCAGCTCATCCATGCTCTGTCACCATATTATCCCTCGTGCTCTTCCCTCCCCTATTTTGATTCCACTCCCTCCTCCCTTGTAGAATGTCTCAATTTATAGTTACCTATTAATTTTGTCTTTCTGATTTTTTCCCCTGAAAACTTATTGGTTCCCCTACATTCCTCCTGTCAGTGAAACCATTGAACTTTTTTTCATTATCCTCCTGGCTTATTTAATTGAGCATAATCCCTTCTAGTTCCAACCCATGTTACTGCCAATGGCATGAGTTTATCTCTTTTGAATGCTGGGACAGTATTCCATTGTGTCTATATACCACATCTTCTTGATACAATCATCTGTTTTGGGCCAATTGGGTTGTTTCCATATCTTACCTGTTGTAAATAGTGCTGTGGTGAATATAGGACAGGTATCCATTTGAGTTAATGTCTTGTGTTCTTTGGGTAGATTCTTGGGAATGGAATTGCTGGCTTATATGGTAGCTCCATTGTTAGTAGTTTGCAGAATCTCCATGCAGCTTACCACCGTGGTTGGACCAAGTTGCATTCCCACCAGCAGTGTAGGAGAGTTCCTTTCCTCCACATCCTCCCCAATATTTGTGTGTGTGTGTGTAAAAATAACCATTCTCACTGGCGTAAGGTGGTATCTCACTGTGGTTTTGATTTTCAATTCCTTGATTATAAGTGACGTTGAACATTTTTTCATATAATGTTGGCCATTTGCTCTTCCTCTTTGGAGAAATGGGCATGGCCACTATTAACTCTCTTTCCAGTTCTTCTCAACTTTCCAGAGATGTGAGAGGGAATGGGGCTGAAAATCCCAAGATTCTAGTCTTGAGTTAGTCCCTAACTCAGAGATATCAGGAGCCACCTTGCCTCAGTATAACAAATGATCTTCCGTACACTCATCACTTATGAATTATAAGAATTTTAGGAGCATTCTACCAAGGACCAAGGGTCAGAGTAACACTCTCAACTTTGTTGAATTGTATTTCATTTTATAAAACATTCATAATTTGTAATTCATTTTTCTTTGTTAACTTATAAGATTTTTCTATGGGCTAGTTATTATGTATAAAGCTACTTTTCAGACATCTTTTTGTGAACATGTGTTTTTATTTCTCTTGAATATATACATATGCATGGAACATGTCATCAACTATTACATGGTCACAATGGTCTCACAGCCTCATAAAAATGCTCAGTGTCCCAAATATTCATCTTTCTCCTCTCCCCTACCAGCTGGTCACTGCTGACCTTTTAAGGTTCTGTTCTTTGGCCTTTCACAGTGTTGCAGCTTTGGAATCACAGAGTATATGGCCTTTTCAGGCTGATTTATTTCACTTAGTAATAAGCATTTAAGATTCCTCCATGTCTTTTTGTGACTTGATAGCTAGTTTCTTTTTATGGAAGAAAATATTCTATTGTATGGGATGTACCACAATTTGCTTACTGAAGGACATTGTAGCTGCTTCCAGGTTTTGACAATTGTGAATTAAATGGCTATAAACATTAATTTTGGAGTGGGTATGTTTTCAGTTCACTGGAAAATAAATAGAAGCATAATAGCTTAGCTGTACAGTAAAGCTATGATTAGTTTGTAAGAAACATGCCAAATTGGCTATGTATTTTGCATTATCACCAACACTTGCAGACTTCCTGTTGCTCCACATCCCCTTAAGCATTTGATATTGTCAACATTTTTGGATTTGAGCCAGCCTCATAGGTGTGAGGTTTGCAATCTTGTTTTATTTGCAATTTCCTAAAAAAAAAAATGTGATCTCAAGCTTTCTCTGTGTATTTGCTACTTTGTTTATTTTTTGTGATCTGTACTCTATTTTTAGTTAATTTCTGTGAAGGTGTTAAGATCTGTGCTTTAGCATCCTGGTTATTGTGAATTACACTACAGTGAACATGAGGGTGCAGTTATACCTTTGAAACATGATTTCATCTCCTTCAGTCCATGCTCATAAATTAGATCATATGGTAATGTTATTTTTAATTCTTTATGCAACTTCCTTACTGTTTTCCATAGGGGCTGTGCCAGTGTGCATTTCCACCAACAGTGCAACGTTTTCCTTTTTCCACATCCTCACCAGCACTTGTTTTCTCTTGTGGGTTTTTCTTTCTTTCTTTCTTTGTTTTTTCATGTGTAAACTCTTCTAGCAGGTGTGAGAGGATATCTTTTTACAGCTTTGATTTTCATTTCCTTGGTGATAGGAAACTTTGAGTACCTTTTCATGTACGCACTGACCATTTGTATTCCTTCTTTGTAAAGTTGACTATTGATGACCTACTTCCCTTCAACAACAGGGCTATTGTTTCATTTTTTTGCTATTGAGTCGTATGGGCCCTTGTGTATTTTTTGACGTGAATCCTCTATCAGATATGTACTTTGCACTTATTTCTTCCTGTAGTTTGTCTCTTCAAGCTATTCATTGTTCCCTTGATTACACAGAAGCGTTTCTTTTGTTTTCTGTCCTTTTGGTGTCCTTTTGATGTTTGCTGACCAACATCAAGCACTTTTACCCTTTGCTTTTCTGGTTGTTTTAGTTCAGGAACTTCAGACATATAAATCTTTAATTCATTTTGAGCTGATGTTTTATCTCATGTGAGTTAAATATTGAGTTTCATTCATTTGTATGTGGGTATCATTTCCTCACATCATTTGATAGAGAATATTGTTTATTCTTGGAATCACTTGACTGTAAATATATCGATGTATTTCTCATTTAATAAGCTATGCATTGGTCTGTATGTCTGCTTTTACACTAGTAACATCTTGTTTAGACCGTTTAAATGAAGTTTAGTTCAAAAATCAGTTTTGACCTTTTTAAAAAAAATATTTATTTTTATTTATTTATGCATACCAGAACTGGGGTGTAGGCCAGAGGTGCCAGAGGGGGTGAGAATATCCACCAGAGACAGAGTGGGGAGCAGAACAGGAAGATCTACTGAAATCCACTGCTGAGGGGAGCAGTGGGTGAGACAGGATATTCCTTCTAAGCCTAGTTTTTAAGAGTTTTATATTGAAGGGTTTTAGGTATCTAATTTTGGGGTGTTTTTGTGTAAGTGGGATCATTTTCTTAATTTCTCCCTCTTCTAGCTCATGTTTGTATTTAGAAAGGCCACTGATTTTTGTGTATTTATTTTATAACCTGCTATTTCACTGTTTTTGTGGTACTATTTCCTTTCTCAGTTCTTTATGTTCATTCCTCTCTTTGGTTTAGCTCTTTTCAGTATTTCTCGGAGTCTAATCTTTGTAAGTTCCTTTAGTTTCTGTTTGTCAAAGAAGCACTTTATTTCTTCCTCCTGTCTGAAGGCGAGGCTGGCAATGTTTACCTCTAAGTATTTTGACTATGCCATTCTATTACTTCTAAGTATTTTGACTTTGCCATTCCAGTCTCTCCTTGCCTGCATGCTTTCTTCAGAGAAGTCAATATTAGCTTGATAGAGGCTCCACTATGGGAACTTATGTAGTTCACGCAACTGGGGAATGAATGTGGCGTGGAGTCCAGGTGGCAGGGTGAGCTAGTTGTGCTGCTGCCTGGGTTAGTGGGCCACAGTCCTCATTGCCACCTGGGTGCTGGATTCCCGGAACCTGCCACCTGGAAGCTGGAGTCAGTCTGTTCTTGTGCTCTCAGTTGCTGGCTGACTGCTGCCTCCTGAGGG